TTCTAAGCATTTTAAAATGGTATCACACTATATGACTTCTATTGTTTTGATACTATAAAATTATACCAAACGAAATTTAAGTTTTATAATTATTTTTGTATTTTTTTCATTCCTTGACTTTAGATGCTCTGTTCTATGAAGTATGAATAGTGACAGATTTGAATCATACTTATAATAATAGAGTAACTCTTTAGCTACAATTTGAGGTATTATACATGCATATCCACAGAGTTTTAGAAAAAGTATTTATGAGATGGCTTTCTTAGGAGAGTTCCCACTGTGCGGTGGGCTAACTGACTTGCTTCCTCTTCATCTATTATCCCTCACTGGTTCACCGCCAGTGTATACAAATAGCGCAGGCGGGGTTACCATTCCATTGTCATCCATAAAAAAAACCCTTCAAACCGAAACCCAATAAAGATGATGTTGTGCAATTATTATGTAATGAATTATAATAGTTTCAATACATTGGAATCATGTCGTTATTTACATCTATAGGTAGATATGTATTTTGAAAAATTATTTATATTGTTCTTTATCCCATACTCTATCTTTTATAGCGTAGTTAGTAACGATGTTGTACGATGTTTTAAAAAATAGTTTAACAACGCCTAATACACTAAACACAGAAAACGCTAGTCAGTTGCGAAGCGTAGCAAAAACACTTACCGGTGGTTCATTATTCAAGGGGCCCACACTGCCGGAACGCTCGCTTGTACGTGGTAAAAATAATAAGTGATACTTTAGTATGCCAAGTTGCCTTCAGCTTTTCAGTGTCTGTAACGCTATATTATCACAGTGTTCGTTTGATTTAATTTAATTAAATAAATTAAATTCAATTTGAGCTCTATGTTGTAATTGTAGGTACAATAAAGACTCATTGTCCAAATTATTTGTATTAACATTATCTTTACTCTTTGTCATGAACGGTTTCAATAAGCTCGTTTGCCATTTTATGTTCCAGAAAGAAATCCTAATGATTCAATAATTATTTTCATTAATCATTAAAATAAGTGACATCGACTTCTGTGCTTTTTTATAATTCCTTATAATTTTTTATACCCCTGAGGCAGCAAATAAGCATATTGCCCGTCTAATTGTAAGAGGTTCCTGTAGCCTATAAACGCCTGCAATACCAGGGGCATATCGTGATTTATCAATTCTGTTTAATAACTCTTGCAGTATTGGAATAGTTGGTATTCTGTATTTTATATTAATTGTGAGTACATAACGCAGTTGTTTTATACATTTGTACAAATTGAAAAAATACGAGGCTTTTTATAATGTCCTTCTAATAGCTAAAAAGCCATTCGTATCTGTATGTGATATACTACTTCCCAAATTGTAGCTATTTCACTAATATAAAACAAAATCCATTCTAAAACTAATTTGTAGTTTTATTAAAATTGCATAGAGAGTATTTCTGTTCATACTTCACAATTTATTTCTTCCATGTAATCTAACCTTACTCTTGTTGGACTGTCTAAGACCATTTTCTACAAGTTGCAAAGATAATGTTTGTACTGTGTATAAGAAAAACAGCTAGATATCAAGGTAAATAATAGTTGATTATTCATACAGTTTAAACTGATTGTTTTGAAGGCGAGAGTCACATGGTACGAACATGGTTACAAACACATATACTTACTTAGTACTTAACTAGTTAAACATTCAAATTGTAAATTCAGTGGAGCTGTTTACCGCGGTCGCAGTTTACTTAGCTGACTAGATTTCTGTTTGTCATAACTTACGTGACGTTTGGCATTTGGATCTACATTGAGACAAAGACTAAAATTATCTCGCTCTGTATTCGAAACAATTTTATTATTGCAATCTAAATATTTTCATTGCGAATCCACGATGCCGTGTTGTCGTCTAAATATAGAAGCGACCTGGCATCGTCCGATGTTGGTACATCCCGGTTTTTGCCAATGATTCGCGGTGACAAACAGTTATTGGCCGTATTAATGTTATTTGTCATTCTTCCAATGCTCTATACAACCATTGGCCACGGTCATTGCTCCATAGTTTTATGCAATTGACTTACAGGTTTGCCAGCTGTACAGCCGATGTTGTTATCTTCCTATTAACGCCAAATTGATAATGTTGAAGCAGCGATATTTCTAAAATTGATGTAAATAATTTATTCTGATATAATATATACCATAACCAATATTTTATTATAATTTATAACCTTCCACACAAACGTATTCTAAAATTATTTAATACATTTTGTATTCTGAACGTTAGAATATTACGAATAATTTCCAAGTCTTGCGAGTAAGTTCCATTAAGTGTCAAAAATTAACACCAAATAGTTTTACGAGTTTTACAGTACAAAACATGAGATAAACCTGGCACTTTTGAATCAACATTAAGAATTATATATACTTTTTTTACTTTAATAAGTAAGTTATCTGATTTATATATTTATTCGTGTTTCAATACAATTAATTTTAATTCAACACAACAACAAGAAATCCTGTTTAAAAAAAAAATTACCCATACCAATGTGAAATTTAGATCATCGTTATTACAGCCGAATTGGAATTCTCATTCTAATTTAGATATTTACACAAATTTATATGAAAATGCTTGTTTTATTAAATGCATAGACAATAAATACATTATAAATAGTAAGTAACCTTTAAGGATTTCATAATGATCTCATGAGTAAACATTGTTTTTGTAATAATATCTACAGACATTCAAAGTTCCACCAAGTGCCGATATTCATGACTTTTAACGTATTAAAGATTTCGTTTAAACTTTAATTATAAGACTAATGGTTAATATCAAAAACAAATATTTTATAAAGTGGTTAGTCCCAAGAACCTGCAATCGTGTTTAGTAAACAGATCTCTTATTCAATCTGCTGCGGACATATTCTCGGGTTGTGCCGTGATTATCCACTTTGCGAGCAAGGCCGCAGTCTCAATAGAGTCATACAAAATAAACATTTCGCCCAGATACCTACTTTATAGTGCTGCTGCAACTCTTTGATAATTTTATAGCTCTTCTATGCTTTTTAAATTTGCTAATATATTTGAAAAAATATAATTTTTATACTTCTTTCGAGCTGGTCGTACTTCTAAAATTACTCTATTACGATTTTTTTTTATACAACTTAGAATGGCAAACAAGCTGACGGCCCACCTGATGGAAAGTGGTAACTGTCGCCTATAGACACAGTACCATGAACATAACAGTTTGTTTCGCCCATGAACCCCATTGCCGCGTTGCCATTTCTGAGGACTCAGATGTTATTCCTCTGTACCCAGTAAATTCACGCTATATCCCACCCTTTAAATCGAAACACAGCCATGCAAACACAACTGCTTCACGGTTGAAACACGAATGGGACAAAGGTACTCTGTTATGATTTGTATCAAATATTCTTTTTTATGAGAAAGGTTCTCGGCTCGCCAATTTTTACACCGTTGATGTCGATTTCGCTATTAAACCATTCTAAAGTAAATATTTCATGTTCTAAGTTCAAAAATTATTTTTATCCAGTGTATAATTTCTTCGCCACCGGTACTTTTGTTTTAAGAACACTGATACTCACGTCTCAGTGCTCTTATCATACTGAGTCTCACGTCATTGACTGACTGATTTTGTGATTCCAAGTTTTAAGATTACTAGTCAATATTAATTCTATTCATGATTGAAGTCATTCTCTTACAAAGCAAAATCTGTTTTTTTATGGGTGATAATGTAATGGTAACCCCGGCCGCGCTATCGGTATACACCGGCGGGGCACCAGTGAAGGATGATAGGTGAGGATGAAGCAGGTCAGTTAGCCCATTGTGACGAATTCGACAAGAATTGTTTACGGTGGTTTCCAGGGGGAACCACGTGGCGGTCGACCTAATAGGGTACATTGCTAGCAATGGAGCTGTCAAACTCCATTGTTAACAATCCCTTTCCCCCAGCAAAATCTATTTAATTTTCCAATTAGAATTAATTTTCATGATACGCTACAGCTATGAGTAGTATATCTAGAAAATTTCAATTACGCAATTTGAAGATAGAAACCGAGAGGTTTATCTTAAGTATTTCATCAAAATTCGACCTACATTTAAAATACTCCGGTACTATTTGAATTGTGGTTGTGATATAGCTCTTATTATTCACTGGCTTTAGTATAAATGCTGCAAGCTTTATATTATGGAAATCATTTAAAAAGAACGATCGCTCTACTCTTATTTACGATTGCTCGCATTTAGAACAGTAGATGATTATAAATCAAAGGCTGTAAGAACTCTATTGGAATAATATAACGGAATAAAATAATAAACTAAAATTTGTTCCGTAATAAATATATGGACTTTGGACAGAATTGATTTTAATTACATATTATGGAATTGTACCGTAGATAGATTTTCATTACATCTTGTATGAAAAATACATGTATCAAATGAAAGTGCATGCAGAAAATTGCAAATAGAGATAAATGGAAGAGGAAAACATATTACGTCGTCTCCAAATAATGGACAAAAAAACAGGAATATCATGAGTTATTTGTCTAATACTAGTGGTCGCCCAGTGGTTGAAATTCGACCATAATGTACATATATTGTAATAAACGAGTTTATTATGGTTATCTTTGACATTCGGTAAAACTATAGACAAATAATATTAAAGACAAACAATAATAAACTATTTTCAATTTGACTTTGTTTTGTCAATAACAGACAGACTTTGTCAATAAATAAAAGAGTATAAATGTGTGTGTGTTTATCAAATACATAGTAGTGTGTGTATTGTTTTTTTTTTATATTGATTTAATGTATTTTTTATGCATAATAAAAAAAAATTATTTGCATTCGGCACTCCTTCTCTGCATGTATATAAAATGTAAGTGTGCCAAATTTCATACTCCTCCAGCCGCGCACTTTTTGTAAGAAGGGGTACAAAGTTTATGCTTCACGTATTAATATATACTTAATCTAATATAGTAATTTCTATTGTATTGAATAATTATCTTTCCTTTCCAGGTTTTCGGCACAGTGGAACTGCCGGACAAGCCGATCATGCTGCCCCCCTTTGTGGAGGCGACACATTGCCTCGGCTACCACCTGACCCGCAAAGGGCGGGCGGTCGCTGATCGAGTGGTCTCCGTACTCGGCTATGCGTGCCCGGACATCACATACAGTCCCAGTTTGTACCCCATCACTGCGGCCCTGCTGCATTTTATGCCTGGTGAGTGTTTTTATACTTTTTTATTGTCGATACTACAAAACGATCTCGGGTACGTTTTAAGTCGGTTGTTAAAATGCAGATAGTAAAATTCTTAGATTGACATTCGCTCATTTACGATGTAGATTCTGTATTGAACACACTGAATAAACTGAAAAACTAAAAGCATATAAAATCAATAAGTATTTACTTGAATGATATAAAAAATGTATTTACGCATGTTTAACTGTATATACCTACATGGCTTTATTGATATGAATATTCTACGTGAATCAACCATAATTAATCTTCTAGTTTTGTATCATTTACTTTTATTATTCAAACGTATACCTGTTTCTCATGGACAAATATTTTAACATTCTCAGTACTCTCGTCACCACGACGTTCTCCGAAATTCAGGTCTAATCACATAGATAATTTGTATCTTTTTGGCGGTAACTTTTATGTCGACAGCTTTTGTTTTTATTCTTTCTAATCTATATGACTGTTGTCAATGTTTTGAACGATTAATAAGTTTCAGCCAAGGCCTTTAGGAAAGTTTGTTTCATAATTGCCGTATGTTTCAGGAGTATATTATTAAGGCAACGTTTTTTCATTGTTGTCTATAATTTGACATGAATTTATTAACATTTCAATAATTAGTTATAGGCGACGGTTACCACTTTAGATCAGGTGGGTCGTCAGCTTGTTTACCATTCGTAGATGCATAAAAGAAATAGAAAATACTAGTAGAAAAGAAAGTAAAGCTGGCTGATTAAGTAGTTTAATTTTTGTTTCGTTCTATTTATATTATGAATTGGCCATATGATCCTGGCATAGAATAGGCCACCCCTTCCTTTTCCGTGGTTGAGGGATGGGCAGCAGTGTCCGTCTTAAAACATCACCAAAGGCCTAACTGCGGCTGCCAATCCGCCTGTCAACCATTGCAACTACTGGCAAAACCCTCCAACTATGGGGGAGGCCTATGTCCATTGATGGACGGATAATGACTGTGATGATTGCCTTTATTTATTCAAATTTATAACTAAATTGTCGAGATGGTGTGTGTCTCTTGTGTTAAGCTCAATTAATTGTTCATGTAGACGTTGTACTCGTAGACTCATCCACTTGTTTGTACTAGATGTGCGAATGCAAACCGTTAACTTCAGGGGGGAAAGGGATTGTTAGTAATGGAGACTGAGAATCTCATTGCTAGCAATATACCCAACCAGGTCGACCTCCTCGCGGTTCTCCCTGGAAACTATCATGGTTAATTCCTGATGAATTCATCATGGTGGGCTAACTGGCTTGTTTTCATTCTCATCTTGCACTCTTTACTGGTGTTACGCCAGCGTATCCCGTTAGCGCAGGCGGGGTTACCATGACGACCCAACTTCATGACGTGGATCGTCTCGCTTATAAATTTTGCTATTAGGTATTAGGTCTATTAAGGCTATCAGTTCTCATTATCATTATTAAACAAGATTTCATTCGTCTTATTATGATGATGATATCGGTCGTTACTCTCCACTGCTGAACATAGGCCTTTCCCTATTGGGATGGGAGGGTTTTGCCAGTAGTTGCTACGCTTGGCAGCGTAGTTGGCAATCGCAATTAGGCTTTGGTGATATTTTAAGAGGGACGCTGCTGCCCATCTCTCGACCTTTAAGTTCCCATAGTCGCCAATTACCGACACCCACGAGAAAAGAATGGGTGGTCCATTCTATGCCGAGACCACATATACTTATGTTTGCTATTAATTTCGTCACGATTGAAGAACCCATTTTACTTTTTTGGGGAACAAAACTCCAGTCGCATTACTTAAGCTACTTGTACACATACGATACTGCGTTATCACTTCAGATAATTTAAATCTAATGTATCTGTGAATAATGCTGTCTATTGTCATTATTGAATTGACGATTTTTTTTTTTAATTAATATCAATATTTTAGTATTGCTTGATTGTTAACCGTTAATATCCTGATTATGTTTTTTAAGTTAGCTTTTACATTCATAGTAATGCCCTTTCTGTCAGAGGTTTTCTATTTTTATTTAAATCTAATAACTAGATTAATCAAATCAATCAGCTTCATTAACTTTTAAAATTAATTAATTTGTAAGTTGTTGTTATGTATAATACAAGTGACTAACTACGTAGTCAGGTAATAGCCGGTTACATAAAGCATCCTTTCAATTCTAGAGGCGTCACAAAATTTACAGTCGCTCTCGCCTTAATTCAGTAATAAGTGCGGGGGGCGATAATTGAACTCGGCAATAGGCAAATTGCCGGAGCATTCTGTCCCGTCCATATCTCAGTTATCAATCTAGATAGCTAGACCCATTGTGGCCTTTAATATCTCGCATTAAGATCTATTCTTCTTTATATTTTAAACACGTCCCAGACTAGTGTTATTAGAATCAAAATTGTTCTCTCGTCCGATGTAATACAGACTGAAATTCCGTTGCAGTGCTACCGAGCTGTCGTGATCACCCGACATACTTGTACAGACGTCGTCAGTTGCCGGTACGGCACAGATTTGCATTGCGTCCGTGCCGTCGATTTCGTACGTCTCACTTCCTCCGTCGCACGTTATCGTATAATTGATTGGAATGCGACCAGATGTATTCGGTATCAATATGAAATGTATTTTCGTAGATGCTGACTATGTTTGACAAGTTTTATTTAGGTCACACGACAAAACTCTGTGAACTACGAACAAGCGACATTTTATACGGACTGACCATTTATCACTAGACGCGTCGCTTGATACGTGAAGAGGCGGCTGAGGGCAACAGTGTCAATTTGGTGACCGGACGGCTCTAGAAGTGACAATTTCCTGCTCTTCCACCTTTGTTATTCTTTCATAACACGTATGACTAATTTTTGAGACTTCAAAACAAACATTTGTAAGGGGTTAGAAAGTCTCTATAGGAATAATATTGCAAGGGTCAAATACATCAGAGGGCCTGTTAACAATCTGTCGGTACCTATTCATTTAGAATAAAAGAAACCCGTTTAATATTGACTGTCATATATTAATGCACTTTTTACTAGGGGTGGGTAATATATATATATATATATATATATATATATATATATATATATATATATATATATATATATATATATATATATATATATATATATATATATATATATATATATATAGTCACATATATTGGTCTAATAACAAATATTAACTTATCAGTTATCCAGTTTATAATATCGAAGAAAAATCTGCTCGTAATGAATCGTTCATCAATCAAAAAGCTCGTGGTCATCAATGTCCAGAAGAACTTAAATATATAATATCGGAAATTACCTGTCTCTACATATACTCCTTAGAAATATTGCCACGAACTGTCACGTCAATATTTTCATATCCATGAACGTGTATATATATATTTGACTAAAGCGTTAGTAACAGCATTCACGAGCGAGACGAATTCAAAACTTCAACAAAGCAAACACGATTATGTTGTTATCATAGACACATCTCACTGTTTGCGTCATTATACTGTGTCGTTTTGTGACATTGTTCAACAGAGCGTTGTATTAGTCCAAATTATATTATAATGACGTTGTGGGACGTAATACAGTGCGACGCAGTCTGGCATATATTGTTTGTGTTTTACTATAGATATCCCCAATGATTGTCTTCTGGTTGGAGTATCACATCTGAAATATGTTATCTGTCATGTAACTTTTTTTTTAACGAGTAAAGAGGTTATCGATTCGTTTGAGTTTTTTTTTTGTATGTTACGCGACTATGTTGCCAATTCTGAATCGATCTTATTAATTCTTTTGCTATCGATAGGTTTTTGCATTACAACCATGTTAGTTTTGCTACGATTGAAGGAACTAGTTTTGTTTGTGGAGCAAAATCCTGCTTGTTGCGGATTAAAATTACCAAGTTTACATACGAGTAATAGTTTTTCAGTATAAAATGTCTTTTTTTTATACCACAGAGGTGGCAAAAAAGTATACGGCTCACCTGATGGTAAGGGGTTACCGTAGTCTATGAACGTCTGCAATACCAGGCTATTACGTGCACGTTGCTGACCCTGAAGAAACTTCTTTACTCTACTTTTGAAGAACCCCATGCTGTAGTATCTTGGAAAAACCTCGACAGGGAGCTTACTCCATAACCAGAGCGTTCATGGGAGAAAATATTTCTGAAATCGCGTTGTATACGACCATATAGGCTCTAGGGTAGGAGGGTGAAATCCGTCGATGGCGAATTGTACGATGATAGAAAGTGGTCGTGGACATCATATTGAACAATGTCTCTAAGCACAATCCGTTGTACAAGCGATAAAACATGCAGTGTGAGACAAAATCTCTCCTATCTATGAAATTATTGGTTTGAATGAAAAAATAGATAATAATAACAATTTTGTTTCAAATGAAGTCGTCGTTCATTTAGAAGACAAAATGTCCTTATCTGTAGATAATCTCACTGATCAAATGTCTTATGTCTGAACATCTGAAATATGCTACATGTCATGTAACATTATTTTGTTAGTACATGACTTTGGACAATTATGCAAGTATTTGATTTGTAAATTTACATATATGGAATATTTGAATATCGTGCGGAACAACGAATAATATGGTTTCAACGGGATTTGGATTTTACTTGCCTTTTATCACTAAGGTACATGCAATGCCACATATGCAATCCAATATTGCCGTGTACTGCCGGCATAGAAAGGGCCATCTTTTTCTTTTTCCGTGGCAATCGGAAGAAGTGGCTAAGGGAATTAAATGGTGGAGGGATGGGCAGTAGTGTCCCTCTGAAAACATCACCAAAGACTAACTGCGGTTGTTAACTCGCCTTCCTTCTTTTTTTTACAACACGGGGCAAACGAGCATGCGGCTCACCTGGTAGTAAGTGACTACCGCCGCCCATGATCACCCACAACACTAAAGGCATTGCAGGTGTGCTGCCGGCCTTTTAAAAAGGAATATGCTCTTTTCTTGAAGGTTATGTTGTCGTATCAGTTCGAAAATACTGCCGC